AAAGTGATAATTTGTATAAATAGCAACCATAAATCATCGTTTGAAGATAATTTGTTAACAAGAAATGACATCATAATTGAGATATAATTGTATCACAGGTTTTTGATCTATAGAAATGATGGAGATGTTTGCGCAATTTTCTGAGTGAATCCTTATCTCAGTATTTCTGTAGAAAACGTAAGTCTTTTTTTGTATTAGCTCTCCATAAACAACCCCTACAATGAGTTTTAACTTCAGACAGGGTCAAAAGTGCTTCTGGTATTTTATAAGAAATTCATATATTACATTTTGCTAGTAAGGTGTTATATTCTATCTTCTTGATGTATTTTGCCTGGTGTCAAATATCAAAAGTAATATTTGTCACAATGCGAGTGAAAGAGATCACTTTTTGTATCAATCAGTTAGAATGATATTTATTCCTTACATTCAAAGTGGCTGGTTTTCTGTGTAGATCAGGACGAAGTGACAGAAGAATGAATGTTTTTATTTTGTACAACTTAATCTTACTTAACTACACAATTGATACATACTATTTTGGTAAGCAAATCTTACAGAAAATAGAAGTGTTTAAATCTTTGGAATAAGATTCATCAGTTTGGTATGAATAATAAATGCTAAGGTTTTTTCTTAACACAAACAGGAATTGAAAGTTTATGCGAGCTTTCGAAAAAAAATCAATTCCTGTTTGTGTTCAAAAGAAGCTTTCACCATTATTAGTGTATAACTCATTTTTGGAAAGAAAAACATACCTTGACAGACTTCTATGAAATAGTAAGAAAGACAAACTAAACAAAAATTATCTATTACCGTGTATTTTGAGTGTAAAAATATGTCAAGGCCAGACTAGGATTCAAACCCTGGCTCTCTGGCTGAGTGACCGTATTTACTGTCACTCTCACCAACTGAGTCTTTTAGTTTATGGAAGTACCCTATCCTAGTCTAAAAAAGAAAATGTCGTCAAATCTGAAAAAGTGTCGCCATGCATTTGGCGACTTTGCGATCGTTAATGCAAGCCCTTCAGATTTATAAGTCTACTGTAAATCGTAAGCACCTGTACTGTAACTGTTATTTATTTTACATTTATGACCAATAGTAGCTTTGATTTCCTCGAGAACGATAACCCAAGAATGACTTGTTCCTGCGTATAGTGCCGCCCCCTTTTTGACATGACAATATTGACCTAAAAAAGTGTGCACTATACATGCAAAATTACGGTAGTCATGCTACGGTTATATCTGAAACAAAATAAAGGGGAAGTTACGATATTTACGAGAACCACAGTAGACTTTTCTAGTATTTTGTTTGCAGTGGGACAGCGATCGCTAACTCATTCACCACTGAAGACACATTTGAACTCTTCCAATTCAAAGGATGGAACAGTTCATTAAGAAATTTCAGGGGTGAATGAGTTAAGGAAATCACCACTGGTCAGTGATGGCAGTGGTCAAGAATAACAGCACTTGCAGGTACAGTTAAACCAGGACACTGTCCAGCCAGGAGGTCAAAAATGTTGTAAAGGACATTTGGAGGCACTGGACACTGGTCAAGGAAATGTATTTCCATTGTCGCTCAATCATGATCTACTATATAAGTATACGATAAGGACCATAACGATGTTACCTGTCACAGATATATGTGGTCCCACTTATAGCCCATACCGTTTAATGGCTGGCCTGTCAGGTTAACGAAAATCTACTCAGTAGAAAACGACAGATATGACAGTGCAGTGATTTACTTATGGAAAGTTTACAACCCTCGATAGCATTTCTTTGTTTGTTTGTTGTTGATGCACAAAAGCCAGACTGGACATATAAACACAGGAATTACATAAACTGCACGGCTATCATTTATTGCTATATATACTTTTTTATCTTCCTGCTGACCACAGCTGTCTTCAAACTTGAGTGTCTAAGTGTCTCAACTATATTTGCAACTGGAATGTATGAACATTGGATAGAACTTGTTGAAATATTTTGCAACGTCCTGTTGAAAGCACCTTAAGTGGGATCTTTTGTTAATCACATTGTCAAAAGAAACGTCGAAATATGATCTTGGATAAATATTATTGGAATATGTTGATCTTTGGATAAAATTGTGTGACCAGTTAGTAAACCAAAGATCTAAAGCATTTTATTGGAATTTGAAGTGTTGGATCTCTGGATGGCTTTATCGAAATCAGGGATTTTCTAATGGAACTATGGAATAGTTGACCCCAGGATTAAAATATTTGGATGTAATTGACCTAAGATAGAACTATTGGAATAAGGGACCTTTTGATGGAACTATCGAAATCTGGGACTTTTGAAACGAACTATGGAATATTGGACCCCAGGATTAAAATATTTGAACATATGACCTTAAGATAGAACTATTGGAATCTGCGACTTTTCGAAGAAATCATTGAAATCTTAGTCCTCTCGATGGAATTTGAAACCTGTGACCCCTCAAAGGAAATATAATTATAATGTATTGAGATTGAAATCCGGAACAATTGGATGGAACATTCTGAAGTTGACCTCTAGAAAGAAACGGCAATCAGTGACACCTGCCGGATGGATGTATTGGAATTTGTTAAGTCTGTAAGAGACATTTGGAAAGAATTTGTAGAGAATTTGTTATGAATTTTAGAATTTCTCTAAAGAATGTGCAGACTTTCAGTCTACTTTAAACAAAGACATATATCATTCTCTAACAGGGAACTGGAAGGATGTTGTACTTCTGAAGAGTGTTTTAAATTTTATAAGTTCTTTATAAAAAGGTGAGGATTTTAAGTTTGACAAGTGTGATTATTTTATTGACAATTGGAAAGATTTTGTAGAGACATATGGTGTTTTATGAATTCAGGAAATCTTCAAAAGAAATGCATGGATTGTAAGTAATAACTAAAACAAAGGTACAATTTGATTCTTTAATAGAAGTTTTGGAAAAGTAGAGAGAGATGGTACATATTTAAAAAGTTCTTTGAAAGAAATACACAGAATTTAAGTGTATTGAAAAACAGACATAGCTAGGTATATGATAACTTTCAAAAGACATTTGAACAGATTATGAGATTAATGGATTAGCTCAGAAATAAGATTGAATCTCTGAGTGAGCTGTTACATCGATATGATTCATCGGAACCTCAGTTTGACCCATGATAGAAACCACACTCTGTAGCTTATAACCACAGTGCCTGCTGACCCACTCGGACACTCCTTCCCCAATTAGGCCCCTAATACAGCCGATGGATCAGCTATTTGCATAACATGACCATTGTTGGTGCTAAGCTGGAGGTAAGAGTGGTCAGCGAAAATCCTATACAAGTAAATCGTCTTTTGTTTACGGTGTACTCGAGATCTGTTCTGATTCAACTGAACTCTTGTATGTGTTTTGAGGACCGGAGGATGAGTTTACGGTGACAGGTGGGAGGGACTTAAAGTTGATGTAACAGACACCGGATTCAGCTGTGTCTATCCCCGTCCAAGTTTTTAAGGGAGCTGTCGACAGATTTATATAGGGAGCTAAACGTGTTAGGCATAACAGGTCTACTGGAGGTGAAGTGAAGAGATTAGCAGGTGTTATTATCTGTACACAAACTGTTTGTATACATAAAAGTATTGACAAAATACAAGCCCCATTGTGTCCGTTCTACAATACCTATATATGCAAAGAAAGGATTAGACCTGTTTCGGGTTGAACAAATTAAATAGAATGAGCTGAAAAGATCTCTTTCATTCACTATTATTATAAGTTTTAACAAATGGGAGATTCATTGATTGGACGCTATCCATCTGGAACCCTCTTCACACGGTCCCATTGATGGTCCATCAGGGTATGACGGAACACTTGCCAGTCTAATAGGGCAGGTGGATTCATAGAACAGCTAACGTTGGTCTGGGACGCAGGAGTTACTTCATGGAGCAGGAGTACGGAGTTCCTCGCAGCTAATACACCTACGGCAATAAGGGATGGACATCAGTTATCAACATTGTTTGCTCACAATATAGGCCGGATATTGTTGCATTTCATAAAATCTGGTTAAAGTACATAAAAACGAAGAGATATGGCCAAGTGTGAGGATATATGAAGGACAACATCATTATTGAAACAACAGGAAATTATTGGATTTTTATTGAAGTACTTTGATAATACCAGCACTTAAAACTTTTATGGTTTTTGGAAGAAACAATGATGCTTCAGTGAATATAACTAACAGCTGTTTTTTCTTCCCTTCATCTGAATTATATTCTTTTTGTATATGTTTTACGAAGTGATGTGAATAGAAATGTGCTGCCAATTCGGTTGTTTTAATCATGGGAGCGTGACGATCAGCTGGTCGATAGCGTGAATATTGGACCCAGTACCAGGAACTCCGAATCTACACCACCGTGGATACCTGTGAGATAATACACCTACAGACAACTCCATGCATGAACTCCTTCGTGATCAGGTCAAGCTAATGTTTTGGTAATCGTTATTTGTGTAAACAGTCGGACTAAACCTTCCGGCAACATTTACAGACGTCCAAGTCTGGCAATTAAGTCCTTAAGAAATTTAAAAAGTGCTTCACGTCACGGTTTGTGGGAGTTTTCACACTTGGATAACTTTCAATTTTATCGTTTGTCGAGTTAGATCGCCTGGGTTGAGGATCATTAAACCTATCGGCTGAGATTGTGATGGAAATCGGCTCGGCTGTCAAATGGAAATCTTGTCTCGCATGTCGGAATAATCACGACCATAATACCGACCATGTTATTGTATTGAGTTGAAGATATGTAAATGCAGCCACCATTCATGAAGATAGATATATTGGTTTTAAATAAACCTTTCATAAAGATGAACCGTGCTTCAATGGACATTTAATGGACTGACGTGGTAGTTTAACCGGAACATTCAGTTTGGATACCACCTTGTTTCAATCTGTTATATCACCCCACAGACTTGAGAACAAAATTAACCCCAAACATAAGGTTGCACAAAAGTCTTTTTGAATCTCAATCATCGGAACGTTAGATTGGAGACAGAAACTTTTCACCAGGGTTACACAAAAGTGTTTGTTTTAGAAAATGAATTATCTGAACATTTGATTAAAGACATCAACTTTCATCAAGAAACGCTGGAATATATTGAAGAGGGTTATCCATCAAGTAGTGATATGCTATATATATCTTACTTTCATATACAAAAAAATGTGGAGAAATACTGACCAGATATACGGACAATTGTTCACTGAAAATTGAAAATCTATCAATTTACGTTCGAGCCGAAAAAAGTGTAATTGCATGTAGAAAAATATCCACCATAAACATTAATGCTCTCGGACTTATCATTAAAGATGAGAAACAACGACAAAAAATGATGTCATATCACCGTTCATCGGAACAGTGAAACCCTGCGCACTATACAGAGCAGTTTTCTCTGAAAATTACTCCATAGGAGTTCAGTTACAGGGAGGATAACCTATCCGGTGCATTATCAACAAAAATAAATACCGTATAATTAGCATGGTGGTGATATCACTGATAGACTAATACGACAATTTTTGTAACAATTATTTGAGCTACGGTGATCTCTTCCGGTACGGGCATATCACACTCCCAACACAAAGACTTACCTGCCGTAAAAACATCAACCTGCTGATAATAATAGAATTGTCGTCTATAAACTTGCGCAACAAGTTAGCTGTATCCCGTCTTTTGTCTGCCACGCGCAGCAAGGTCAGGTTCTGAAATCCACACCTTGTTTTATGTGTGAATGTTTTCAACACAATGTGAAGTTTAACTTTTTAAGGTATACTTTACTCTGTGTTAGTTTGAGCCCAATATTTACGACAAGGCCAGAAGATATTCTACCTTAGTGTACTGTGACTGTTTAAACTTGAAAGGGATATTGTTCAAAAAGGCAAGAGTGCATTTATTTGAAGGCCGTAGTTTGTTTGAATGTTTGGAACGACATTTAACAAAATAATCTGAATGGAATCGGACCATGTTTATATTACACAGAGCTAAGGACCTGTAGAGGGAGGGATTACAGCTGATTGTGATAGTCTTCGGAGTTTAATCATAACACTTAGATATAATGGCTCTTCAAGAGTGAATTAAGTTTCACAAGTTTTGTACAACTGTTTTATGAATGGTTATCTGAAACAGTGATTCAGACTTGTTTGGAAACCCAGTCTCCCCGCACCTTAGAAAACTTTTCTATCAATGCTGGGACTTAACTACACAATTGACCTGTAGATCTACTTGTAATTTCTCATAGTCTCCTATAGTCAACACACTGAACACAGCAGTGTGGATGGGATCGGAATTAATAATTGACCATTTCACAGGAGGTCAATGGAAGGATTTGGCCATTGACTGGTCAGAAATACAAACAAAGCTATTTGGATGAAACTGGAATTCGTAAACGACCATTTTGGGTCTGACAGGAGGTCAATAAGGATTTAAAGAACCTGTCATACAGTTATTGACCACAGGCAAGCAGCCACTGTTTACACATACATGTCCTCGGTAGCCGTCTGCCGATGTGACATTACAACAATATTATAAAGACCGATTAAGTTCCGTATGGAAACAGGAATATTTGTAGAAGCTGAACTGTCCTTATGACAATTTTGGGTACGGAAATGATCTCTACAGTGTATTTCTAGACTGAATTTCAGGGGTGTCTATTATATGAACACCAGGGGTAGCCATTGAGAGAGGCGTCTGGGTAGTGTCAGTGTACTCGGAAACTGTTTGATCCCAATTCTGTGCTTATTAAGTCTGATATCTTTGACATAAATTGTATGGAGTTTTATAAATGTGCAGCGTAGCGTGTCTGTCCTTCCCTGATTCAATCAGACAAGTATGGCGATGTAGGCATTTCAAGGAAATTACGTCTTACATAAAAGAAATGCATTTATCTGGATTTATACAAATACCTTGTACAAATCTTTGACATATCTTAGTGATGGAAATAGTCAACAGTTTAGTAAGTGTATAGAAATTACTTCTCTGAAGCGGAATTTGACGAAAAAGGATCTGTCTCTTTATCATCGCTGCTGTGATTTGCAATCAAGATGCCAAAGAAACCTAAAAAGGCCAAAATTCTGGCTAAACAGTTGACTCGTCAGACATCTACTCCTATCATGTCGGTGTTTAACAAGAAGTCAAAGGCGAACTTTTCTCACCACCCACACTCTGCCTCGGAGATCTTCGGAATAGATACAGAGGGTGTAGCCAGAGAACCGAGCCCTCCCAGTGGAGGTAGCCGGCCTACCTCCCCCATCAACATGATCATCCCCTTGTTGGAGTATGGCTTCTCCTGGCCGAGGAGAAAGAGTCCGTTTTCGAAATCATCAAACAAAAAAACTGTTGTTGAAATAGCTTCGCCAGACAGTGGATGTCCTGCTTCTCCAATCAACGAGAACGATTTGTACTCGGAGAGTTCGTTAGAGAATGGGAGTTGTCTCACCTTTACGTCACGTTCCCCGGAATGTTCGTCCCCCTCCAGTGACAAAGAAAACGCTTTACCAGACATTGATGCTGTTATTGCCTCGCTCGATGATGTCATCGATGAGGAAGATAGTGACGATGATATTCCCGGTGTTGGAAATCTGAACAAACAGAAAAGTTTGTCGGACACAGCTGTCTCTACAAATGAAACGAAAAAAGATTTTTTCAAAGAGGCTGATCAAGATACTTTGGATGAGAATGAGAAAAGAGATGTTTTGAATGAGCTATCTCCAATCAATGGAATTATCAAAGAAGGTAGGGGAAGTAACTCTAAACGTGTGAGGTTTAGTCTCGATCATCAGCCACTTAGGAAGGCCAGGAGTTTAGACTTCATTAAAAATATGGTTGTTCAAGAACCGTGTTCTTGGGATGTAACTGTGAAAATGATTGACATCCAGCCGGGTGGAGAGGATAGCGAGGAATCGTTGTGTACGGAGATGGAATCATTCAACATACAGGTAAGGATACCCAGAAGGTCAATGTAATCGTAGAAATAGCAAAAAACTAATTTGGGTCGGGTTGCTCAGTGGATAGCGCACTTGCCTTTTACCAAGTTTGCCGGGGTTCGACTCCCCGATCGAACGTGAAAAGGGATGGGGTCACCTGCCTGACCACATAGATTTTCCTCAGGTACTCCAATTTGCTCCCACATTAAGATCCCCCTCACTCTTACATTCAGGCTAACGATCGTGATTGATATAGGTTGATAAATAGCTTGTTTCATAGTTGTTGTAAAATAAATTCCATTTCCTAGAACATTATTCGGGCTCATCACAACAGAAGAATTAAGGCAGGTGCCTGAAAATTTTCAATGCATATATTTATATCAAATTTGTATGTTTTGCTTTGGAGACTGTTCAAAGTAACAATTTTACAAAGTATTAAAAATGCATCTTTAAATCACTTTTACTAAAACCAATTTGGTTAGGGGATGGGAGATGTGAGGGGATGATATTGTTTGAATTCAGATATTTAGTGTTTCTTTAAATCTGTTTAAAACCAAGAGATTTTTTTTCTGATAAAAACAGTACAATAGATTTTTCATGTTTGTAAATATCTGAATTGCTCGAGGTGTCGTGGGAATTCTACAAATTCATACAGGAAACAATCTGTCTCACTGATTGGGAAATTCCAGACTGGAATCGGATCTGTAGCCTTTTGTTTTGACTTATGACACTGACATTGTACAAACTTCAGCGAACAATTGCTGAAACGCTGAACAAATTCAGCTGTGCTTTGTTGTTACGTGGACCATTAAGAGAAACTCGCATTGACATCCACATTTCCCGTTTAATTTTGAAGTTTTTCAGATTTTAAAGTTTTCTCTGTTCATTTGAAAACATACAGAAGTTATGTCATTTTAATTTGGTTTGAAAATCATATATCAGTTTGACAACTTAATAGCGTTGAAAATATTTGTATCGGTTTGAAAGTATATGTCATGCGTAGCCTTCATATCAATAAGTTTACTTGCGTCTGTTTTACGTTAAATGCCATTCAATCCTTCACGGAAATATTTATAGATTTAATCATTGTGTCGGTGTGTATTGACGTGGCTGTAAATGTTATCAAAAGTACAACTTACACGTGTCAATGGTATGTGGGTAGACATTTTAATGTTTTCTTTGTCCACGCCTTCATCTGCACATCACTTTATTTACAAGCTTATGTATGATAAAGACAGCATGTCTGGATGTAAGTTATATTGAAGGGTACATAGATGTATTACATAAAACATGCTTAATGAGCAACTATTTTGAAATTAATATAAACTGAACCCTTTAAGAATAACATGGGGGGGGGGGGGGGGGTAAAATTGTCCTGACGAAGCCTCGCACCAAGAGGTGAAACTAGTCGGCCAATAGATATAAGTACCAACTTACTGGTTGAGCATGTTGTGATTAATTCTTCCCGTTTATATTTACATATTTCATCCATCGCCATGTAAAAGTTAACGAAATAAAATAAAGTGGCAACAGTGTTCCGAGTGTAAAAATTCAACTGGACTTGAATTCTGGTCCCTTGATCATTGTATGGTCATGCTAACCAACTGAACGGTCAACTTGGTAGCATCCTCAGGTCCAGTACACTGCTCTACAGTTATAATCAAAACAAAATAAGGTGGAGGAATTACTGTGTGTAGGAAAAAAATACAGTTGAATGTTGAATTCTTGCGTAATTTGCCAAAGGTGTCAACCTCTGAAACCTCCAATGAGGGAGATCTCCCTCATTCCACATTTATAATGTGGGAGATCTCCCTCATTCCACATTTACAATGTGGTAGATCTCCCTCATTCCACATTTACAATGTGGGAGATCTTCCTCATTCCACATTTACAATGTGGGAGATCTCCTTCATTCCACATTCCCAATGAGGGAGATCTCCCTCATTCCACATTTATAATGTGGGAGATCTCCCTCATTCCACATTTACAATGTGCGAGATCTCCCTCATTCCACATTTACAATGTGGGAGATCTTCCTCATTCCACATTTACAATGTGGGAGATCTCCCTCATTACACATTTACAATGTGGGAGATCTCCTTCATTCCACATTTACAATGAGGGAGATCTCCCTCATTCCACATTTACAATGTGGGAGATCTCCCTCATTCCACATTTACAATGTGCGAGATCTCCCTCATTCCACATTTACAATGTGGGAGATCTCCTTCATTCCACATTCCCAATGAGGGAGATCTCCCTCATTCCACATTTATAATGTGGGAGATCTCCCTCATTCCACATTTACAATGTGGGAGATCTTCCTCATTCCACATTTACAATGTGGGAGATCTCCCTCATTCCACATTTACAATGAGGGAGATCTCCCTCATTCCACATTTACAGTGTGGGAGATCTCCCTCATTCCACATTTACAATGAGGGAGAAGGTGTGTGAAACACGACTGAAACTGCTTTGATCAATTTATCTTTCGCTTTTTATGTATCAAAATAACTCTAAAAAGCATTCATTTGATTCTGACACACCTGTTATGATCATTACACACCCCCTGTAGTAACTAGGAGATCATTTGATTCAAACACACCTGTTATGATCATTACACACACCCTGTAGTAAATAAGAGATCATTTGATTCAGACACCCCTGTTATGATCATTACACACACCCTGTAGTAACTAAGAGATCATTTGATTCAGACACACCTGTTATGATCATTGCACACACCCTGTAATAACTAGGAGGTCATTTGATTCAGAGACACACGTTATGATCATTACACACACCCTGTAGTAACTACGAAATCATTTGATTCTGACACACCTGTTATGATCATTACACACACCCTATAGTAACTAGGAGATCATTTGATTCAGACACACATGTTATATGATCATTACACACACCCTGTAGTAACTAGGTGATCATTTGATTCAGACACACCCGTTATGATCATTACACACACCCTGTAGTAACTACGAAATCATTTGATTCTGACACACCTGTTATGATCATTACACACACCCTATAGTAACTAGGAGATCATTTGATTCAGACACACCTGTTATGATCATTACACACCCCCTGTAGTAACTAGGAGGTCATTTGATTCAGACACACCTGTTATGATCATTGCACACACCCTGTAATAACTAGGAGGTCATTTGATTCAGAGACACACGTTATGATCATTACACACACCCTGTAGAAACTAGGAAATCATTTGATTCTGACACACCTGTTATGATCATTACACACACCCTGTAGTAACTAGGAAGTTTTTTGAACACAGGACGTAGGTTTTGACTTTGTGTGAGTCTGGACTTGAATGACAGGTTTTAGGGAGATTGGTAAATTTTGGTCAAAATGAGGAAGGGTTGACAGCTATGAATTTTCCTGCTGTGGGACAGAGGTTCTTTATGTGGAAGGTAGAAAAAAAACCTGGGTAGTTTTGGTAGATTGTTATATCAATGATGAAAGCATATGTCTGTGTGCATAATGGCGTGTACTTAGCTAAAGATGGCTTTCAAAACTGCATCATACTGGAAACACCTGGATTGACACAATATATTATATATCGTAACCTTGACGCCGCGTGATGTATCAATTGTCTGTGGTTCACTGAAGTGCAAACTTCAGACTAAGGAGATCGGACAGAGAGTACAAATACTGTATTATCTATAGAAATGTATATGGAACAAGAACAGGCCCTTTGTTTCATACCTGTCAAACTACGGGTTCACAGCGACTGGTTCTCGGATTATGTTTCGTACCACTGTACCTGCGTTTCTGTTTCAGTAATACTGAACATTAGTATACCTATAGTCTACAACCAGCTGTCATTTGTATCCATCAGGAAGGATTTTAATCCCCAATTATCTCTCTCGGTAAAGTTTTAGATCTCTCTATCCGACAGTCGATCGGAATCTGAACGGTTCCATAATCCTCTTTTTCCATGACAATCTTATATAATTCTGAATTAGGTCAAATAAATATCTTGTTCAAGATTACATATCGATACACTTTACCTAAACAATACAGTTTATGTCATCGGGTTACTGTTTATGTTTATGAGATCACCATACACAGGCTTTTAATATAGAAGAATGTATCTTCCTGTTGCTTTTTTATGAACAATGTTTTAAAAGTGGTACTGTTTAACGATTATGATTTGATTCTGGTTGTGATCACTCTTTTATGCCCAGACCTTTTATGGGGGGAGGCACTGTAGTCAGGTGGTAGGATGCCGGGCTAGTGACTGAAGGGCTGCAGGTTCGAGTCACACCTTTTATGGGGGGCATACTATATTTGACATGTTTTTCCTGTCCCTGTTCCTGTCCCTTCCTGATTCATTGTCATAGTTCTAGAACTACGTTGGCTGAGTGGTCAAGGTGTCTGACCATCTGTGATCTTTAGCCCTCCACCACTGGGTCACGGTGGCTGAGGGGTCAAGGTGTCTAACCATCTATGATCTTTAGCCCTCCACCACTGGGGCACGGTGGCTGAGTGGTCAAGGTGGCTAACCATCTATGATCATTAGCCCTCCATCACTGGGTCACGGTGGCTGAGTGGTCAGGGTGTCTAACCATCTATGATCATTAGCCCTCCATCACTGGGTCACGGTGGCTGAGTGGTCAGGGTGTCTAACCATCTATGATCATTAGCCATCCACCACTGGGTCACGGTGGCTGAGTCGTCAAGGTGGCTGACCATCAATGATCATTAGCCCTCCACCACTGGGTCACGGTGGCCGAGAGGTCAAGGTGTCTAACCATCTATGATCATTAGCCCTCCATCACTGGGTCACGGTGGCTGAGTGGTCAGGGTGTCTAACCATCTATGATCATTAGCCCTCCATCACTGGGTCACGGTGGCTGAGTGGTCAGGGTGTCTAACCATCTATGATCATTAGCCCTCCATCACTGGGTCACGGTGGCTGAGTGGTCAGGGTGTCTAACCATCTATGATCATTAGCCATCCACCACTGGGTCACG